GGGCGACAGAGCAAGACCCTGTCTCAAAAAAAAAAAAAATATATAGATTAGCTCTTTAAACTAGTCTTTTACCATTTATTTGTACCAGACAGTATTTAAAAATACAAAACAGGATTCTTGCCTTAAGCACTTGAATTGACATTATATCTAAAGCGTGTTCTTCTAAAATTAGGTATTTATACCTAAATTGAGAAATTTAAAAGGCAGTCTTTGAGGTTGACAGTTGGAGATTTGTTTACTTATTTTATCCATTTGATGCTTTTAATTTAAGTGTCTTTGGGAAACCTAGGTGGTAAAGCCAGAAGAAGATGACTTCCAGGATTTTCAAGATGCTTCTAAGTCAGGATCTCTTGATGACTCATTCAGTGATTTCCAAGAGTTGCCTGCTTCTTCAAAAACAAATAATGCCCAGCATGGAAACAGGTAGAAAAGAGTTGACTATATATAACATTGTATTTAATCATTAAGAAAGAGACATCCACAATAAGAAGGCTAAGTATAAGTTAAAAAAATGACTCCTTACTCTAATACTTTCCTTCATTATTCCTTCTTTATTCATGCTTTTACACTTCAAACTTCTCGTCCCTTTGTCCACTTTAAACTTCAGCTTCTACTGTTTCTTCCCAGTACACACCTGCTTGCCAATATATATTTTTTGTGCTTGTACTAAATCTGATTTTATTATAGCTGAGTGCACCTGTGTGGTGATGACTTCAAGTTCTTGTATTAGAGCCAAGTCCTCAACTGTTGAAAAGCTTCTTAGGCAGAGACACGTAATTTTATATTTTTGTAATATAATATTCTGTTGATTTTCCACAGATGTCATAATTTAGAACTCTAAATATTTTTTATTCACATCTCTTATTTTTGACATTACTGGTTTTTAAGCCTTGAGATTTCTGTTTGTTTGCATAGGTACTTGCATAAACCTCTCTCTAATGTTTTATGTACCTGCTTACCCCTTAGGTATAGTAACTCTGTGGTCCCCAATCCCTGGGCTGAGGACCAGTACCAGTCTGTGGCCTGTTAGGGACCTAGCTGCACCCCCCAGCTGCACCCCAGTCCTGTCCATGGAAAAATTGTCTTCCATGAAACTTAGGAAGGGGTGGGGACACACAGCAGGAGGTGAGCAGCGGAGTGAGCAATCAAAGCTTCATCTATACAGCTGCACCTCCTAGCTCTCATCACCACCTGAGCTCTGCCTCCCTTCCCCC